ATTTATAAACTATTATATATATATATATACAAATTTTGAGTAATATATGTACGCCGAAATAATTTTGTGAGTGATTATAAAGCGGAAGAAAAATATAATCCGCCGATACAGATTTATATTTTGCCGAAATATGCATTGCACCAAAGAATCGCAGCATTTCGTTCGTTCACGATGTGCGCAAACAAAACGGATATAGCTGAGAATATATTAAATATACATATATCAAATTCAACTAAAGAGGTAATCCACGTTAAATTAGTTCGACACCTCCAAAACGACGATTGGGGAACAGGTGAAGTCCATGCAAACTTGATTATTCGTCTGACATATCCCTCCATCGTATTAATAACGTTACCGCGAAATACACTCAACGAAATTACACGCGCCGCGAATGATTGTCTCCGTTTCGATCTGTCGGTTACCCCGACAGAGTTTGTCGATGATGGAGTTGAAGGGAAAAGCGCTTTCTCGGTAACGTGGCACCGGATAATCCACCAACGGACACCACCGCCGAATCTTCCAGTAAACCTCACTAAACAAGGCGGCCAAGATAGAGATAGAGAGAGAAAGAGAATGGAAGCAAAACGGGAGATAGCTTGTCAAAATATTGAAACTTGTATGCGTTGGCTATTCGCGGGGGTGATATTTCTAAAAAACATCTTTTAATATTTATATATACATATATATAAGACGTGTGTGTGTTATCTTAATATATATAATAGTTTATAATTATTTCACAGCGCTCTAAAATGACTGGGTAGGTAATGGTAGAAATGAAAATAGGTGGGCACATCCCGCGTGTCGGAAGATATTAATTACGAATGAGCGTTTTGGACGCGTTTCTGGCGGCACGTACCGAGATACAATTACCTTTTATTATCTCGCGTGCCATACTTATCTCCGCCGCCTCGCCTCGCCTCGCCACACCGATGAAGGGGCAGAGGAGGAAGAAAGAAGAAAAGTCCGTGCTCTCCATGAAAGCCATGTCAAATTACCGAACAACGTTTACTGCTAATAGTCCGCGTGCAGCGGAACGAGCACAGTGAGAGAGATATCTGAGATGGAAATCTTGTTAGGAACTCGAAACGGAGGGGAGCAAATGTCCGGAGGATATCCAGGAGATAACGACTCGTCTGGCGCATATGTGGGTGGAAAGAGAGGAAGAAAAGGATGATAGAGGAAAAGAGAGAGAGAGAGCACATAAGTGTGAGCCAAGAGTGCGACGAGAAGAAGAGAAGGAGAGAAGATCATGAAAGGAGAGGGAGTATAGGGCGGGTACATAAAGACAGGAGCTGGCGCGTGCCAGGTGCTTCACTGCACACAATGCATCTCTGTTAGGTCGAGAGGAGAGAGAGAGAGAGTGAGGAAGAGAGCGGGGGAAACCTCCGGAAGTCGAAACGTGTCGCGGCCCGGCGACGGGTGTACAGGCCGGCTCTTATTAAAGGGAGAGAAAGGAGCGCGTCCGCAGAATGCGCGATCCTCGTTCGTACACGACTGGCAAACGGTCGTGCACTTTAGTACGACGATGACCACACAACGGTACGTTGCATTGCGTTGCACGCGCGTTATATCTTTTATTTGATCGCGCCACCATATGTGTGTAGCGTGAGCGAGCCGTTTAATTGATGAAATTCTTTGGATACCCGTGAACCTGGCGACAGAGGATCCTCTTTTTAAGACACATTATGAGACTGCCGACCCCTCGCCGGAATCGATAAATTGTGGAATTCACGCCGCGACATCGACACGATCGTTGATAATAAAACCGCACGATCGTTTATTCTGATTTCTATTTTTTACAGTTTCCTTAGATTTATCTCAAAGATTATAAATATTCGAAGAATAAATTTGTAAAAGAAAGAGCGCGGGAAAAAATATGATAATTGTTCGCTAAATATGTATGAGAATTTCAACAAACGAAGCGGAATGATCGGCTGTCGCTGTAACTGCATTTGAGGATTAAATTTCTCAATTACCAACGAGTGTGACGGGATGGAATGGGAAGTAGAATGCAAACAGAAGGAGCAAATTAAACCGCTAGAGTTAAATGTAATTCCGCAAAACATTATTTAGCTCTCAACTACTATGGCGGAATTAAATCTGGTAGCAGTGCAATATACTTCATAGAGTATCACACAAGAGTACGAAATTGTTTTCATCTTATTATTTTATTAACTTCTTCATAACTTTATGCGTAACTGTCTATTTAGTAAAGATAAAAAAAGTAGAATAAAAGTGATTTTTCAACCAAGATGGGGATGATTAAATAAATCATCAATTAAATTTAGACGTATACGAAAATTGGTCTTGTTCTCCGGTATTATATATCGACACCGCCGAAACTTTCAGCGATAGTATTTCGCTTTAATATTTTAGGTATTTCAGGTACGCTCAAAATTTCAAGCTTGAGGCCACCCTAATGTAAGTATATATAGTTTCTAACCAGAGACTTCAAGAAATTCCGATAACGTGTGGGTACCTACAGCTTGAAGACTATGGCGTGAACGGCGTAGTGAAACAACTGCAAGGGTATGTTTAGCGATTCCCCGTTCCTTGATAGGATCTTTTATGTATATTATTACTTGAAATAAGTTTTTATATCTAATAATAAAAGGTGATTTATTACATACAGCAAAGAAATTCATCTCCTGTTCGTTGACTTACAAAAAGTTAATAATAATGTTTCGATAAAGATGCTATGAGAGTATTTGCAGAATGACGAACTTCAACCAATATGTCCTCAGAGCTTTACAAAATCTTTATAAAGAGCTCTAAAACAACAGTGAAGAACGGAAGCGACGAACTTTTATAATTAGTAAGTGATTACGACAAGCTGTTTTCTGTTTTCTCTCTCTCTCTCTCTCTCTCGCTCTCTTACTTTATTTAAAATATACATAGGAAAAACGCTCTACCAGAGGGAACATAAATGTAAGGGGATGGAAATAGAATTGGATGACGACACTTTCCGTATACCCTCCAGTTTGCTGATGATCAATGATATGTACAGGAAACCGAGATGATTTGGAATACATGGCGAGAAAATTGAAAAAAAGAATATAAGATGGGGACTTACAATGAACATCAAAAAAACAAAATATCTTTGCATAGGGAATGGAATCACTAACATATAAATGGATGGAAATGAAGAAATAGCAATATGGGAGGAATATAAATACCTGCGAATTATATTTGACAAACAAGGAACGAATAATAAAGAGATCAGAACAAGGATAAAGGAGTAAAGAAATTGGAAAGAAAAAGAGACTTTACATATATAAAACAATGATAAAAAGTGAACTACTATACGAAAGTGAAAAATGAAAATTAACTGAAAGCACAAAACGAAAACTAGAAGCTATGTAAATGGATGTACTAAGAAAATCGGCAAAAATATCAAGATTAGATAGAATGCGAAATGAAGAAATAAAAAGAATAATGGACATGGAAGGATCTATCGTGGATATGGAATGGAAACAACTGGTGTGATATGGACATGTATATAGAAAGAATTAATGATGAGAGACTATCGCACAAAAAGCAGTAGGAAAAGAGGAAGACCAAAGAAAAACTGGAAAAAAAGAATCAGGAAAATAATGAGTACCAAAAATTTAAATGAGAATGACTGAAAAGATCGAAGAAGATGAAAACTGGGCATCAAGTAGCAGCGAAAGACGCTATAAACGCTATAAAGAATATATATATTATATACTTTTATTTTATCATCAAAACATTTCAAATATATCAATGCTAAAGAAAAAAAGAATGTCAAAAAACATGTCTTTATAATATTCAAGAAGCATGTCCGTTCAAGTGGTTCTTTTATTATTTTTATGTTAATCACTAATAATAATCTATAAAAGAGACTGTAGCAATTGACTGGTACTTGGCTTTGTACGGATTACTGAAGCCACATAATAAAACTTTTCTACGAACTAAAATTTTTTAATCTACTATTGAATAGCGTTTGAGATTTTCCGACGAAAAAGCATGTATTCATTCTCTCACCTGACCACCCTTTTCATCTGGTAATCCATGAGCTTTAACGGAGGTACTGTCGCATTTGCAATCTGTTTCCAAAACGCCGGATGAATGGAAAGCGATTTCAAGCTGCGCATTCTAAATACATCGTTTTCCGCCCTTTTTCGCCAAGCGGCACACATCCATTCACGAAAAAGGCGCCGAGAGCGTGCGTGAGTAAAAGAGAGACGTGGAAGGAAAATAAAAGGAAAAAGAAAGAGTATGTAAGGATCAAGGAGAAACGACAAGAGACAGGCAAAGCATTAAAAGAGAAAAGGCCGCGAAAAAAAGGTGGAGATCCTGTAGTTGGTTTATTCGGCGTAACGCGACCGACCCCCGCAGTAGAGGGTAAATGCTCGACAGTTTAGGCCCATTAGGATATTTATGGATTGGCCTTCCACAGATAAGGGAAGGGGAGAGAGTGTGTGTGCCGCAGGGGGGCGACCACGGAGGGTTCGTCGCTATTCGGAGGTTCGTCGGCACGCGACTTTAAGCCCGCTGTGCACCCCGCTTCCCTCACACCCTTTTTCTCACCGTTCCGTTCCTCTATATATGCTCTCGCTCGCGCTCTCCGTCTTTATCGCTTTCGTTGGAACCTTCCAACGGCGCGGACGCACACCTTTCGGGGTTAGTGCGCCTCGCTTTTCACTCGGCCGACGACTGAAAAACAGGACGGTGATTTATGGGACGGCGCTGGATGGAGGCATCCCTTTAATGGGCTGCCTAAACGTCTCAATTTTGTCGCTGATCCTGCTATCCACGCCGGTTTCCGATCCGGCTCCATGCATTCGAGATACTGAGCCTCAAGTTACTACTATCGTAAACCGAGATTATTTCGATGCTTTGGATTAATTTCAATAACTAAATAATAGTAAAAAATTAAAAATATCCCTGTACGTCTGATATGTTTACCCAAAACCGACAGAAATACTCCATTAAAGAATCTATGGAAAAAGCATTTGTAATTTGTTATGTCAATCCTAATATTTTACTGTAATTATTTGTAATAAATTACTTGTAATTTTAGTTTGTAATACGCTTAATTTTTGGTAATAAAATTACGGCAAATTCAATTCGTAACATTAACAAAATCATATATTCTATATCTCTCAATAAAGAAAAGTTTAAATATATTATTCAAATAAATTTAATCTCTAATTATTTTTCTGATAAAGTAGAGTCATCGGCACTTTTATCGTCACAACCGAGACGTCTTTAATCTGCGAAACGATCCCTTATACTTCGTACTGCTGTGGTTACGGCTATATTTCGGTTAAAGCACCGTTGACCGTAAAAGTTATACTGCAAAAGATAAAGACGTTATTATATAACGTGACCTCCGCGTGAACGCGAGAGAGATGACGACGCGAACACGACGACACTGCCGCGAGATTACGCTTTTACGAATTTGCCTCTTATGCACTACAAACTGGTTTACGGTCTCTTCGGCTTCCAACGATGACGTCGCGGATGACGAATGTATATCCGCGTAGTAGAAACAAGGAGTTAACCCAAGAACCGTAGAAGGATTTTGTCGCCGCTTGATTTCGGCTTCATTTCTGCGCGCGATCACCGCGAGATTTCTATGCTAAAATATTTTGATTTTTTGCGTACGAGTTTAAGAGTAGACCTGTACAAATATTGATGAATAAAATCTAAGCTTTTCAGAGATTCTCTCAAAGAACAGAATAGTGTAAATATATATATCAATTTATATTTCTATTTGTTTTAAATTTATATTTCTATATAAATATTCTTTATTTATGTTTATATTTAACAAGAATGATAGCTCGATCTCAACTTCAACTATTTCTATTTCCGTATGTCTCTATTTAATAACGATTTAATTTAACTTCTATTATTACGTTGATGGTCCAAAGAAAGAGACCAAAACGTTCGCTTATTGTTGATTTTTAATAAATTTATTTGCGCTCCATATATTGCGCTAGCTTCTATTGCCTTTTCCTTATTTTGAATTCATAAATATTTGTATCAATTTAAAAAAAAAAAAAAATTAGATGAATTTATATTTCATAAAATATATAGAGAGAAGAGGCAAAAGACATATCCGCCTTTAAAATATTTTTATATACTCTACATTAAATATTCTGAATCTAAATCAATTTTCTTATCTCCATTATCGTTTACGGATCATCAAAAGTATGCAGACTGTAGAATCTGTCTAATGGCAAAGCTCAAGTAAAACAATGTAAACCAAAAGAACAACAATAGTTTCGCTTTAAACGCCTTGTAAAAGTGTATGTCCCGCAGCAATCTTTCCTCGTTCCTTCCTCACACGAACGTCATCGGAGTCGAGCGCAACGGAGAACTTAATAAAGATCGTGGCCCTCGCGGGGAGCCGCGACTCGCGTAGGCAAATAATAACATTTTTACGAGGGGGCGCCCATTAGACTCTCTTGACACCGGAGAGCACCGCCGACGTGGGTGTGCTGAGGGTCGACTAACTCGGCTTCTCCGGGGGACATTGTTGTGCATTCCCCGGGCATTGGCCGTGCAAACGCGATGCCCGACAGATCGCGCGTCTGGAACGATTCCAGGACGAAAGCTCACGTTGCAAGCCTTCCGAAGACAAAAGCATTGCCGTTCACGAGCGTCCGATAACGCGTGTTTCTTATTAGGTCCGAGACATAGGGGACACAAAATTGCAAATATGTATGTATCTTTTTCGAATAAGTTGATTCCGGGGTGCATGAGGACGATCGCGATAGAGAAACATATTATCATATTATCCATTCTCTCCTGATTTATACGAATATATTCCGATATAATACATATCTTGCCACAGTAAATTTATTCGATTAAATGACGCGTAATTTGATTTGGCGTTTTTTTTTTTACACATACATATATATGCGTATTCATAAAAAGAAAATATTTCAAAATAAATTAAAGAAAACCGGGAGGAGAGACAGATATACTAATTCTGACAGATTAATGGACTGACGGTACGTTGACGATCAAAACATGGCATGCCTCGTAGGGTCCGAAAGGGCTGGTGAAGACCGGATTACCCGAACCTAAAGCGTGAGATTGGTAGATGTAGAGGGGAGAAGAACTCGAGGAAATCTCGATGGCTGGTCCGTTAATATGACATTAATTATACGCGCAGGGAAAATTCTTAGAAGTAATACTCATGCGATTCTTACACTCCTCCTTATCGCACTGGACGGCACAAAAAAATAAAATAGATATTCTAATTCTAAAATATTTAAATTATAAAATTTATAAAGAAAAATATTAATATTACAAAACATATCGCGGATGCAGTCTTTTACCAGCGGTTGCGAGTCAAGTTCGCGTTTGCTATGAAATAACGAGAATAATGTTTGCGTAGTCACGATGGCATGGCAGAAAAGGAACGATCGCGCTCGTCGTCGAGACGCACTATCGCGGAAAAATAATTATATCGTGTATCTCAAACGAATGGGATCGTATATATATGTATAATCTGGTCTCGTCCATATTAGGCATATATTTAATCGGCGAAAATATGGGACGCATTTTGTTATCAATTTTTAATCAAAACGGGAAACATGAAAGAATGGCGGGCACAAATGTCCACTTTTTAACATTCAGAATTATAAAGAAATTTTTGCGCGCCATGTTTGCAAGTGGTTCTGATATTCTTGATATTTAAATATTTATTTTCGCTTCCAATTCAACCAAGAATCCTCATGCAGATTTTATAGACCCGCTAAAAAAAAAAAAAAGGAAATTTCACGGATTCGCTAAGAAAAAAGCAGAAACGTATCGCTGAGATGGCCGCGATAATAAAAAAATAGAGCTTGATATTCATAGCATTTTTATTTTTCGCTACGATTTTTGTGCTGTCCCTTTTCAATCGGATATTTAATAAACAATAATAGCGCGCGGCAAAAATATCCGTTCTCTAAATACAATCTTTAAAAATAAAATCGTGAAAATTAATATTTCTTATCAATATTTTTTTCAACAGATTCCACGATATACCATGATAAATAAAATCCTTCCGGTCATCCCGAACAACATTAGCGCTCACGGTAACGATTTTGTGTCATTCAATTATTTCATACAATGTGACTTCCGACGCTACGAGATAGCTATATATTCGTATCTTTTAACGAAAGAACGTCGATAAGATTGAAGAAAACATGGTGAGTGCTAGAAATAAATGAATTATGATGTCTATAACATTGTAGTAAATTTGAGATGTTCCATTTAACAAACGAGAGAGAGAAAAAGAAAAGAGAAAAAAAGGAAGATAAATCAAAGCTGTATAAAACTATTTATGTGCATGAACAGCTTAAGTTTAAAATAAAATAGGATAGTTGAAATCATCGGATAAATAAATTTATATCATATGACTGTATTCACATATATCTAGATGCGCGCGTGCATACCTATTATAATAAAAAAATGATTATTATTAAAAACTATTGATTTTTTAAATAACTTCAAGAACAAATAAATTTTCCGTTAAAATTATTGTGCATCTTTTTAATAGCAATTTGCAAAAATACAAAACTGTTTCGGTAGAAATGAGTGATTATCGCAATATTTTATTAGAATATGATATAATTATTGATATTTTACCATTGAAAACTTACTATATTATTTTACACACACAAAAGAATTTTGATTATAATACCTCTTTCAACCTAAAATCGGTTTCTTTTTAATATATCATTCGGTACAAGAATATGTCATTCTGATCCACGAGAAATATCTACGAGTTTTTTTTAACGTATAGCATGGAAAACGAAAATAATTTAAATAAAATTAATATCTTTGAATTTCATGCTGCGATGTGAAAAATCAATATATGACACGAGGATCATAGCAAAGAGCAGGTATGTGTAAAATGTATTTTGTCGTGTTACAACGGCAAAGAAAGATCGTGGTGCCGCTACTTATG